TGGCGCTGTAGTCTGCCACAAAAGCAGCGAAGAAGACTTCCCGCGCATGGTTACCATGGTTACCCTTCTGTTTATTCTCCGCTGTGGCTTTTTTTCTCCTTCCCCGAGGCAAGCGTTTGCTCCCGCTGCTTTAATTCAATGCAATCCCTCCCTGTCGAGGCAAGCACTGTAATTCTCTCCAGTTAGTCCACCAGCAGATGACAAACACCCACCTCTCCGCCTCTTCCAAGGAACGAGGGGACCGTGCGGCAGAGTTTCAGTTTCAGTTTCTTTCGCCGGTCAAGATGTCCGTTAAAGTTTAAATCTTCCGGACAAAATTAGAAAAGTGCCGGTCAAAGGTCTTCTTTGTTATTTATTGAGCTTTAAAACAAATGAATAACGACTCTATAGGCCTATAATAATATAATAAAACACGGAGGACGGAGATCTTTTTTTCTCCCCCTCTTGACTTGATCAGAGCACGGCTCCCCTCTCCTGCAGGGGGGCGTGGTCAGCTGCAGCTCACAGAATCAGCCCCCGTGCAAAAACAGTGCTGGAGAACAGCAAATAGAGCGAAATGAGGCATGGCTAAAATGCATGATCTGTTTGGTATTTTGAAAACAGAAACGTATAAATATACCTTATATAGGTATGGCCCTACAATATATAATTTAAATATAGCATGATAGGTCCACTTTAATATATAAAGACTATATATTATTGAATTACAATTAAGATAATAAGATTAGATATACTTTATTTGATCTAAAATATTGATGTTTTTTCGTTATAGCAGCTTGTGAAAACCATAACAAATAAATGATTAAATGCTACAGTATTCAGCAACACAACTGCAGAGCTGCAACATTGCTAACAGACTAAGGTCTACAACACCAAGTTGTCTTTGTGTATTTGTGAATGAAGCGCCATCTCATGGTTAAATCCTGTAATTGAACAAATGGGGAAATTTGGCAACGCCCTCTAGCAATTTGGCAACACCCCCAGCACTGGGATCCGCTGGGTTTTTGGTTGGGACACACCCATTGGAGTCCTATCTGGAGTGCTACATCTGTATGCTTTAAAGCAGGGGTTTTCAAAGTGTGGGAAGGTGAGCCTCCCCTCAGAGAACATATGAACAGCCGCGCCCCCCCTCCCAATTATTATTGCTATTATTATTATTATTATTATTGTTGTTATTACATTGCATTTCAAAGAGGTCCAGTAAGAGAACATGTCATTAAATGCTCTGTTTTGGCTGTCTACCTTCCGCCATTTGAAATTATTCCGACTGTTTCTCTCCTCTTGTCTCGTCTCTGTGAGTGTTTGAATCTATTGTGCTGACTCACTGACTGCACCGATTTGATTGGCTGAGTAGCGTCACCTCCTTAAAACATTAAACAATCACTTTTTAAAACCTTTTTATCTTTATGTTTTAAACATATTGTATAAAACTCCTCCACTACTTGGACTATTCCTTGCACCCCTCTAGAATAAGCCCGAATGGTCTCAACCATATTGCATCAGTAATAACGTGCACTTGTTGACTTGTTATAACAAGATCGCAAGGACACTGGTAGCGATCGTACAATTGAGTGTTGTTCAGTTTGTGTGTTGTGGAACATGCGTGTCCGTGCATGAAAATATACCACACACCCAATTACAATAGCATGTTCAATTCACTACCCTGGAAGTTAATAAAGTTGTTAAAGTTGGAACAGCCTGTGGACAGCCGTTCTTCCTTGCATGTCAGTCGCCGACACCTTCTTACAGAGGACAGGCACATCTAGCTGCAGCACGACCCGTATATTTTCGCACGCCGTGTTCTCAACACATATCTTTTAAACATTTTTAACATTTTCAACATCGTGGATACATCCTTATATGCTCCCGGCAACACACTGAACGTCAACTTTATCTCCTTATTACACTCACCCCTACTTTAGTGGGAACAATGAGTCTGCGTCTTTGATGCACACAGGAATAAACGCAGATCATCCTCTGGCTGCAGCCTTGACCGGCACTTCCTTTGATCAGAGTCAATGCGGAAAACCCGCACTCACACAGGTAGGTGGAGGTGAAGGGAGTGAGCACTTTAACAGCCTTTTTGGCGAGGTGGGGGAACTCGGTCTCCACAGACAGGCAAAAGTGTGCAAATGTCACTTTACTCGTCTTTTTCTCGTTATTATTTTTTCTCACGCTGCGCCTCCCCTGAAGCTCTCTGGCGCCCCCCAGGGGAGGCGCGCCTCACACTTTGAAAACCGCTGCTTTAAAGCATAGGTTAAGTTCTCTCAGGCCAGACAATGAGAGATATTTGACATTGTTAATGTAGTCTGGTATCGGATCGCTAGAAACACCGCTGTCATCAGACTGGCTGTTACTGGCTCTGCTCAACCCCCCTCTGTTTAAATGGACTCGGTAGCGCCCCCTGCTGCTGTGGAGAATAACTTAGGACATTTTGTTTTGTTGTATGCTATATTTGTTTCTGAAAAAATGCTATCAAACATGATTTATCATTAAAAAAATTATGTGTTTGTTTTATAGGTACGTTTTTTATTTGCAAAACAAAATGCATTAGTTTGTAGATGGTGTTTTGTATTTGCAAACCACACTGTTAGTTACTCATAGGGCATTTGTAAAACATTTTTTGTTTGTAGAGTTGTGGCAGGATAATGCCTCCATTCCATTCTCTTTGTATTGTTGGCCTCCTCTGCTGGAACAGGTAGACATGGAGAAGCTTTAGGGTTTGGACATGTGGGAGAAGATGAGACAGATTATATTAAAAAAACATCAATTAAATAGTAATACATATGAGTCAGGGTAAGAATTTCACGGCGGCCATGGCCGTCGTTGCCCCTCGGTCTGGCCGTGATGCCCCGAAAATAATTGTACGTCCTACGGCCCCATGGCCTTTGAGGCCCTGATACTGTTAAAATCTTGAAGTTGCTTTAAAGGCGTCAGAACAGTGGTCTGGTCTCTGAACTGCATTATGCTGCGTTCACACCGATCGCAATGCGAATATTCACGTTGCTCTAATCGCTCAAGTTTTACCGCGGCTGTCAGCTGTGTTTACTCCTGTCATTCAAACAGGATGCGCTGGAGAGTGGGCGGGACTTATATCCATATAAATACTGTGGTAGAAACTACAACAAAATGTACATATTTTACCATGATTTAATTGTAATATATGTTTCAAAAATGATGCAGATGTAACAACATACTGATAACGGTTAGTAAAAAACATGAATTAATGCCTTGACAAGTGTGCAGACAAGACGGCAGGTGAAAAACCTTTTAAAATGCGTGTTTTTCTGAATAGAGATAAGATCGATCAGGCTAAGCTAACGTATCTGCTCCGTCCAAACTCACAACATGATATAGACACAACAGCAACTGTATTCGCCATGACACAGACAGTCTGTGTTTTGTTCATGTATAACTTTTATCCAGTTTCTGAACAGATATGAGGAGCTGTGAGCTCTGTGTGCTAACAGCTGATGTTTTGGTTTTCTGAATCAACGTCAGTGACAGCAGGCTGAGATCCTCACTGCTGATTAGGGCTGCTCGATTATGGCAAAAATCATAATCACGATTATCTTTGGTCAATATTGATATCACGATTATTAAAGGTAGGGTAGGTAAGTTTGAGAAACCGGCTCGAGATCGATAGAATTTGAAAATACACGACCGGAGAAAATCTGCCACTTCCTTACAGAGCCCTCCTCCAACACACACGAACGCGCACATGACCAATGAGGGCACGAGATAAGTTTGTGCACAGATGGAAGGCTGACAGGCAGGTAGGCCATCCAGTTATTTTAGCTGGGCCGGCTAAAATGATTGGTCGTACTTTTTACAGTATTACAGCTTCAACAGATGACATTTTTTATGGATTTTTTGTCAAAGCACTTTAAGATATTCATTGCTATCGGGATGTTAAGAGCATTCCATGGAATATAACAAAAAGTGTATCTCTAGCCGGTTTCTCAAACTTACATACCCTGCCTTTAACAAACAAAAAACTAAAACGGCTTGTTCGCGGGCACGAACCGGCTCCCGTCGTTCACTTAAAAGAGCCGGCTCTTTGAGCCGGCTCGTTCGCGACCAACACATCACTAGCACAATCTCATCGGATCCAAATATGGTAATTTCCTTTGTATCAGCAACCAATCGTGAAAGTACAAAGGGGTCTTAAACCAAAAAACTAAATCTCATTGGCTGGTGTCAATTTATGACAATGTGATTCGTTCAGATGCATCACGTGGTGTGCTAATACCATTCTTCGTTTAGCTTTTGCTGGAAATTTAAATCTCAAAATGGCAAAAGAACAGCGAAAAAAACGTTTACATAGAAGACGACAACAATTGTCCCTTGCACGAAGCAATGTTAGACAAAAAACAAATGATCCCGAATATGAAATACGTTCACGGAGTGCGTCAAGGCGCAAGCTGTCATCCAAAGAACAGCAGGGTTTAGGTAGCGCCACACAGCAATCTTTAAAGGTCGTTTTCTCAAAATTAGTTTTTTCTCCTATTCTGAGTGAGAAATGTCCACTTCAGTAGCACTTACATACACCAAACCTTCCAGTTTTATTCTTATCAATATTCTGAGAGCTTTTACAGAAGGATTTGTTTATATATCATTCGTAGCCTGAATTATATAACATTTTATGCCTAAAATGGGGGGGGGGGGGGGGGGTGCGGTGCGCCTACAAATAGAATCAAATTCTGTGGGAAATACTGGATAATAATAATTTAAAAAATATTTTTTTTTAATCATCTCGCGACCCCCACTTTGGGAACCCCTGTAGTAGAGGACTAGATGTCGTGTGGAAGTTTGACCAGGGAAGGATTTCTGACCCCTTGCTGTGGCTTTGACATAGTGTTTACTTGCTCAATTACGAAAATGGATCATCTATAATCAGACTTTGAATTGAGAAATATCCCTTTGCTTATGTTAAAATAAATTCTAGGGAAGGAACAAATCGTGAGTGGGTCAAAGTACATTTCTATTTATTTTGCCAGGTTTCCTTTGGCTCGCCCAGATGTTTGTGGTAAATGGGTGGCGGCTATGAGGAGGAACAACTTCAAGCCGACGAAGTACAGCAACATTTGCTCACAGCACTTCACCAAAGACTGCTTCAAGAGAGAGTGCAACAACCGAGTTCTGAACGAGAACGCCGTGCCGTCGCTCTTCGCCTGCAACCTCAACATCAAGGTGAACAGCGCAGTGCATTCCCACTGAAGACACACATTTGATCCGCACTGAGCTAAATATTATACACAAGACTGATTGTTTTTAGTTAGGTTTAGTTCAGTTGCATCAGAGCTTCATAAACAGTTTCCTCTGCATTTATTTGTGATTATTGTATGAGTATTTAAAACTATAAATGGTAAAGTCCTTTTGTGAACCCGGAAATGTGGAGTGCCCCAAAGTTTTATGTTAGAAATGTATAGTAGGGTTCCCAGCAAATAGAAATCGTGGAATTTGCACAATTAGCATAAATGGTGTTAATTAGCATTGATGCAGTAATTCATGCAAAAGGATGCCCAACCAAGTACTGAGTGCATACACACGAACATACTTTTCAGAAGGCCGACATCTCTGTGTTAAAAATCCTTTTTCTATTGGTCTAATGTAATATTCAAATCTTCTGAGATACTGATTTTGGGGTTTTCATTTGCTGTAAAGACACACCAACCTGAGACCAAAGAACGCGTACCGAAGGCGTCCCGACTTTTACGTCCGCTACGTCGCCTGCGTCGGCTACGCCGCCCGCCTACGAACACACCGCAAAGACTTCAGTCGACGAGTGGCAATAACTGTCCTTACCAGCAGGCAGCGGTAGTGTGTATTCGTCATTCAAAAGAGGCAACAACCGGAAGACAGACTATACACCGAGAGAAGAAGAACAGACTGCGTGATATAAACAAACAACAAATAGCGTCTGGGTTCCATTTTCACTCTCTCTCGTCGATCGAAAACATGTATCGTACTGGCTAGGGATGTCCCGATCACCTTTTTTTGCTCCCGATCCGATTCCGATCATTTGATTTTGACAATCTGCCGATACCGATTTTTCCCGATCCGATCTTTATGCAATGCATTAAGAGGAAAAAAAAGGTAACAGATAACGGCTGGTCATCCAACGCGATGAATTCAGCTATCTTGGCTGTTATTTTTTTGGCCTTTTCACTGTTCTGGGGTAGTTTCTCTTTCCTTTTAAAAGTCTCTGAAAGTGTCGGTTGTTTCAGTACCGTTACCTAAGTGGCCGCTGTGTACTCGTCGTGTTGTTGTTGGTGTTTGTATTAGATTGGTCATGTTGAACGTAGCTCTGTTCTTTCCACCACGCGGAACCTCCGCCTTGCAAACATTGCATCTGGCTGTTACACTGCCTTCGCTTTCAATTTTATAATACTTCCAAACTCCTGACATTTTCTCTGTCCCGACTCCCGAGTCACCAGCTGAACGTAGCCTCTTGTTAGCTTACTGCTACTATTAGACACTGCGCCCACTCTGTTGCCAGATTTGAGAGAAATAAGCAACCAGGTCTATGAAAACAAGCCCAAAAGAAGCAACACATACATGATGTTGTGTAATTTTAAACCAAAACTAAGGCCTCAGGATGACTTTAAGACGTGAACATGGTCATTTTTGTTTTGTAACATTAAATAAAATGTATAAAAATATTTTATAAAAAAAAAAAAAAAAAATTCCGATCCCCAATTTTTTTCTCCCAATTCCGATCTTTTGAAAATCACGTGATCGGCTCCGATCCCCGATCACGTGATCGGATCGGGACATCCCTAGTACTGGCGTTATCAGCAATTGGAGTGTTGCTTGCGGCTGCAGAGATTAAGAAGCGGAAGCGAAAAATCAGGAGAAACCGCACTAAATGGGTGAAAACATGCTACAGCGAGAAGCTCAGGGGGCTTTCCCGAACCTGTGTCGAGAGCTGTCCCAGGAAGATGGAGACAAGACCCTGAACTACGGCAGGCCACCCTGCCACACGGCACCAATATTCCAGCTTGAGCCAAGCAGCACAGGGATGAACTATGCCAATATTTTAACGGTGCAGTGCCTTTTCAGTGGGATAAGATATAGCAAATATGTCTAAAGAACTGTACAATGTAAACAATCGACAAAAATACAATACGATAAAAATAGTGTGTAATACAATAAAAAAAAAAAGAGTTTGCCAAATATGTCTAATGCTGTGTTATCAATGGCTGTAGTATCAAGGTACGAAATAAAGTTTTGTATTGCCTATCCTGCTATTTGTGTTTATTCTTTTAATCACACAGCGTTAATAACAAATAAAAAATGTGCCTACATAACTGTCAGTTGCAGCCGTACATTATTATTGGTTTAACTACTAACAGTATATGTTTAACACATTTTAAAATTACCATCTTGAACAGCTACAACGTTAAAATACTTCTAGGCAGATTGTGGAGGATAATGGGAGAAAGAATAGAGGGGCAGACAGAAACACCCATCTGAATAATGGCCACTTCTTGCAAAATGTACATTTCCATGTGATGCTCACAATAGGTAAATGAACAATGAACAGTGGTAGACAGTAGCTCTGTCTGTCTGTGTGTGCCTTCTTAATCGTTTGTTTTGGTCCCTCACTTCCACTTCGCTTCTCATGCACTGATTTGCTAAGCTGAACAGCCAATCAGAGTGATTTCTTTGGCCGACTGTCTACCGATTCAACATGTTGAATCGGCCGCGGGAGGGAGGTGTGAAAATGTGCCGTAAAGAGACGACGGTGCGGGACACACCAACCTGAGTAGGGCGCCACGAATGCCCGACTGCCTCTGACGGCCTCTGACTCCCAAAATCAGGTTGGTGTGTCAGGGGCTTAAGCCGTAATCATCAAGACTAAAACAAATAAAGGCTTGAAATATTTCACTTTGTGTGTAATGAATCCTTATAATATATGAGTTTCACTTTTTGAATTTAATTAATGAAATAAATTAACTTTTCCACGATATTCAAATTTATTGAGATGCACCTGTAGAGACAAAGTGGAGTCTGACTTCAGAGGCTGTAACACCCGGAAAATGTGGGTGGGACTAAGAACAATGACAGATTACAAAGGAGCAGCGGGGGGTGCTGCGGGACTGTCTGCATGCGCATCTCTCACACAGAAGGATCAGGAGCCCTGACCTTTTGTTTTAGACAGGGCCTTTTTGTGTGCAGTTCAGCTGGCAGAGGTGTTCACAGACATCTTCAACAGGTGCCTGCTGCAGTCTGTAGTCCCCACATGCTTCAAACACTCCACCATCGTTCCTGTCCTCAAAAAGTCAAAAATCACCAGCCTCAACGACTACCGCCCAGTAGCACTCACCTCCATCATCCTGAAGTGCTTTGAACGGTTAGTCAAAACATTCATCACCTCCTCCCTCCCTGACTCTCTGGACCCCCTGCAGTTTGCCTACAGAGCAAACAGGTCCACAGACGACGCCATAGCCCTCACCATCCACACTGCCCTCTCACACCTGGACCAGAGGAACGTGAATGTGAGAATGCTGTTCATTGACTACAGTTCAGCTTTCAACACTTCGTGCCCTCCAAGCTGGTCATCAAGCTCAGAGACCTCGGGCTCAACAGCGCCCTCTGTGACTGGATCCTGAACTTCCTGACGGGCAGACCCCAGGCAGTGCGGGTGGGAAACATCACATCCTCCACCCTGATCCTCAACACCGGAGCCCCTCAAGGCTGCGTGCTCAGCCCTCTCCTCTACTCCCTGTTCACACACGACTGCGTGGCCACACACAGCTCCAACACCATCGTGAAGTTTGCTGACGACACGACGATCATCGGCCTGATCACCGACGGCGACGAGACGGCGTACAGAGAGGAGGTCGAAAACCTGACATCTTGGTGCCAGGATAACAACCTCCATCTCAACATCAGCAAAACCAAGGAGCTGATTGTGGACTACAGGAAGCAGCAGAGAGAGGGACACGCCCCCATCGCCATCAATGGGACTACGGTGGAGAGAGTCAGCAGCTTCAGGTTCCTCGGTGTCCACATCCCTGAGGACCTGACATGGACTCTTCACACAAACACCATCATCAAAACAGCTCGACAGCGGCTCTTCTTCCTCCGCAGGCTGAGGAGGTTCAACATGGACTCCAGGATACTCTGCAACTTCTACAGGAGCACCATAGAGAGTATCCTGACTGGCTGCATCACGGCCTGGTACGGCAGCTGCACCGCCCCCTAACAGTGTTTCCCACAGATCTGAAATATACTTGTGGTGGTAGCCGGGCACATGCAACAACATTAACATTAACCTTTCTGTTGGTCGCTTGTTAGCCGAGGATGTCATGATTTGACCTCAAGGGCTATACTGTATATGAGGCCCTAAAGTAACTGCTCCATTAGGTGCGTTCACACCGGAGTACTTTGGTGTACTTTTCCCACAATAGTTCATCAGAACTACGATATATTTGCGTTCACACCAAAAAGCCCCAGGAACTAAAGTAGCTCAACTTAGTTCTTCAGACCCGCTTTTCAGGCCCTGCTAGAGAGCAGGGACTGTTGTGGGATAAAGTAGTTCGTACGTCTGATTGGCTGTGCGGAATGCAAACCACGCCCGTTTGACTCTGAATTTGTTGTTGTAAGCGGCCATTGTATTTCCTCGCTACAGCACACCCGAAGAGATTCCTTTTGTGAAAGCAGTTATTATAGCAACACTAAATAAATCAATTGGAGCGGTGGAGTGATGAGGATGTGTCTGCGCTTCTGGCGATTTACTCGGAGGACGCGAAGCGCCACATTCAGAAGCTTCTACTGAATGAATGCAGTTTCTGTGGCTCTGCAAAGTTAGCAGACCTGGCAAAGTCATGTCGGGACGACTACCAAGGTAAAATAAAATACATGCACTGCACTGTTTTAATCTGCACAATACTGGTCTTAGATGTACTTTTATTTGCTCAGTAGATCGAGCTAGCCATGCTAGAACTTGCTAACGTTAGGTCCAAGCTGGCTAATAACATCTAGCTAGCTAGCTATTCTCATCCATGCCCGCTATGAACACGTTTTGACTTGTGAATAAGTGTGCAATGTTCTGTAATTTGCTTCACTAACTCATGGCACTAATCGTGTGTTTCAGGCGAGGTGTTTCTCGCAGGATTAGAAACTAGTTTTCCCCTCCGGGATAAAACGATAATATAACGTTAGCAATTAGCATGCTAGCTGGA